TTAAAACGACTCTATGTGGTTTCTTCTGCTCATTTTAGAAGTTAGGAAACTGAGCCACAAACAGGTTGAGTAATTTGCCCCGGACTTTACTTCTTGTCCATCCTGGACCATATTAGGAATGGCCTGCCCTGTGAAGGCTGTAGTAGAATGTGTGTCTTTGGAGCCTTCCCTCCCTCACTGGTTCTCAGAATTCCTGCAGCACCTGGAAGGGTGGTCCTGCCTGCAGCTGGTCCTTCCATCCTAGTCATCTTTACTACTAGCTGTGGATTGTTCCAGCTGCACCGACTGAATACGCGTTGTTGAAGATTGCATACGGGAGTACCTGGTTGCTTTCCAAGAGACTGTTGAGTACTGCAAGTGGCAGCAGGTAATGAGCTCTGAGCAGCGGAGACAATGAGAACGTACCTAGCTGTGATCTCCATAGAAAAGATAAATAACATGGTTATTAGAAGGAGTTATGAAGAACATCCAAGCAGTATAATCAAATCCTAACCTAACTGATGATAGAGGTTGAGATTTGAATTTATGGAAATATTGGAAATTTGATAAAGAAAATCCCTTAAGTGGCCTTTTAATGTATGACACTAAATAACTTGGAGAGCAGAAGAATGTTCCTTGCCTTTCTTGTCTATCTTCAACATAGACTACCCTGTCCACCCACACCTGACACAGACGCAAAGAGACCAGTAGGGATAGACGTTTTTTCCAAAATACATTAAGGTAGTAGCAACTCTGTTAAAATGGCTTGTCTTTCTTAACATTTCACCTTGATTTTTATCTTTGTGTCCCGCCCTTGCTCTTATCTTTCACCCATTCTTTTCTCATCTCACTGATTGACCATCCTTATACCTATATATGCAGGTGAGGGACTCTGCCTCATCACCCTTTTTCAGTGTTCAAAGAACTTTTGACTTTCATCCTCCAGCATGATAGTGCCTTATGATTTCCCAGCTCTCACTCCAGTTGAATTCTCTGTTTTAGTTACTTAGAGCCTTCTCATCAACTTTCCTCATTCCCCATACCATTTCCTATCCTTTTCATCTGACTTTTCTTTACAAATAACAAATATATCCTCAGCAGTTGCTTCAAAGTTATCTTTGTCTTAGAGGTCCATCATTTTTCATTATTTCTGGTGTGGTTTTCATCGTATTTATCCTGCTTTGGGATTCATTGCAATTCCTGAACCTGAGGATTCATGTCTTCCAACAAGTCTGAAAAATTCTTTTCCTGTATTATCCTTCTGATTTTTTGCTGGAACTTCTAATTCTTTCCTCCATGTCTTTTAACAACTCTTTTCTGTTTTCTCTCTTTAACTCTTTGTACTGCATTTGAATAATTTTCTGAAACCTGTTTTTAAATCTTTTTCCAGTTTATTCTTTGCTTATTTAGTGGGGTCTGTCTAATCAGTGTTTTTCTATCCTTTGAGTTTTCAATTTCAACTCATCTATTTTTCAACAATAATTAAAAGAATAATTCTATTAACTTTAAGTTTTATGTGGTTCTTATAAAATCTGACTTAAAAATTTTTTTTTCTGACTTTAAAATTTTTTATTCTTTTATCATGTTTTCAGTTCCTACTTTTGTTTTTTTTTAATATTTATTTATTTTTGAGAGAGAGAGAGAGGGAAAGAGAGAGAATGAGCGGGGGAGGGGCAGAGAGAGAGGGAGACACAGAATCTGAAGCAGGCTCCAGGCTCTGAGCTGTCCACACAGAGCCCGACGCGGGGCTCAAACTCATGAACTATGAGATCATGACCTGAGCCGAAGTCAGTCGCTCAAATGACTGAGCCACCCAGGTGCCCCTCAGTTCCTACTTGTGTATCTTTAGTCCTTGTAATTTGATTTTAGGATGTTTAAACTGGATCTGTGTAATAGTTCTGGTACCTGGAATTCTTGGTAGTGGTGGATGGGTAGGGTGGGAGTTCCTCATCCATGTGCCTACTGATCCTTGTTCGTGGTAGATGGTTTGAGTGTTTTGTAATTTTGGACTGTGAGTTTTTCTTCAGGGATTTGGTTAGTGGTGATCCATTACAGGCTGAGCTTGAGTTTCTGTTCCTCCAGAAAAGTTGTGTGTATACTTTTGTCAAGGGTCCCAGGATTAGCACTAGCTTGGGCCACTTTTTAATTTCTCATTTAGAGGGACAGACCACCCAATGGTGGCTGAATCTGAGCTTCATATCTCCGTGAAGTGGGCCTGTGGCTATCAGTTCTCAGGGAGGCTTTTTTTTCCATACCCCCACTGAGATCCAGGCTGAGGCAGGTAAGTTTCTTAACTGTCTCCTTGTGCACTTGGAGCACTTTTCCCCATAGTCCACTCGTTCACAGAGGGGCTAGTCTTTGGGGAGTTCCAGCTTCATGTGGGGTCTCAGTTCCCATTCTCTCACCCATACTTCATGAAGGCCCTGAGGCTTCTCCTGAACCACATGGGATTTACAGTCCAAATCCTGTGTTACCAAGATTGGTAAACTGCTTTCGTCTTAGGGAAGCTAGCATCAGTTCAGAGGCTTGGTTCTTGATCTTGGATCTTGGTTTTTTAGATCTCTGTGTGTTTGACTCTAGAAAATTCCTTATTAATAACTCAGCTATGCATTTTAAAAGATATTTGTTATATTTTACCCAGAATTTATAAGCTTTTAATAGCAAACAATTTTTTTTAAATATATCTTTTCTGCCAAGAGCACATCATCATCATCATCCTCTGACAGTGTCTGCTGTAGGGTTGAAAATGCCTGTCTACATCCAAAGAGCAGTATCGAAAAGGGGCCTCTGCCCTTGAGAAGTTCATAGATTTTTTTAGTCTAACTCATTTGTAAGCTCTGAGAACTATTCATTTAGTTTTTCACTCACTATTCTTTATATGCAAATCATATTCAATAAATACTGAGTAAGTCCTCACTATCCAGGCTTTCATTCATTTATTCAGCAAATACACATTGTGTACAGCATGGCTATGCGCCAGATATGTGCTCGTCATGCTCAGCAAAAATACACCCGATCCCTGACTTCATGGAAGTCACCAGTATTGATCAGATAAACTCATAAATAAATGTAAAATTGCAACTGTAACAAGTGCCAGAAAGTAAACGTGCTTGGTGCCATGGGATGTGTAATGTTGATTTGTTCAGCTCAGGCCAGGACAGGCTTAATTGGGGAAGTGAAATAAACAAGAGTAGCTTTCACTGAGTACAAAGGAGAGCAATAATTGTGACAGATCCAGAGCAGTATGTGCAAAGCACGTGAAGATGAAGGACTAAAAGAAGGGTGGTGAGAAAGAAGGGGAAAAGTGAGAAAATATGGTTCCAGAAAAGGCTGACAGGGAGCTAGGAGTCAAATCACAGAAAACCTGGTGGGCTATGTTAACTTTTTCTACTTATCATAGGAGCCATGGAAATGCTTTAAACAGGGGGGTGACCTATCTAATTTGGCCTCTGAAAAGATCTTTCTGACTTTAGACAAGAGAACAGATTTGAGGAAGCAAGAATGACAAAGGAGATCAGTTGTCAGTAGACCATTGTCAGTAGACCATTGTCAGTAGACCAGATTGAGAGTTGCTTGGTGCTGAACTTCAATTTTGACTTTGTAGGAAAGAAGATGTGGAAAGATTTGAGATTTACTTAGCAGGTAAAATTACCAGGAAAAAACAAAGAGATGGGCCAGGAACGATTACAGAGTTTTTGGTGTATACATCTGGATGGCTGTTGATGTTCCTTTAATGGAATAGGGAACACTAGATAAGGACAAGGTTTGTTGGAAAGGCCATGGCTTTTTCTTTTATACCTACTGGGTCTGAGGTTTTTGAAACATCTAAGGGAAAAATATCAAGAAGCAGTTGGATAAATTGATCCAGAGATGAGAGAAGAGATCTGGGGATATAAATACTTGAGTGATTTGCTTATTGGTGTTCATCAGGTGAGCCTTCCAACGGAGAGATGATGGATATCCCTTGGATATAGAGACGTGTAGGTTACTGGCGACCTTAACAGGAGCTGTTTTGGTGGTCATATGGGGTGAGAGGCTTGGAGGGGGATGTAGAGAATGTAGAAGAGGAGGAAATGGAATGAGTAAGTTAGACAACTTTCAAGAAGTTTGCCAGTGAAGTTTTATAAGGCTTTCATCCATTTTTAAAGGAAACATGTCAGTTAATTATGATTGGAAGGCAAAATCTTTTAAAACATAGAGTCAGTCGGAAAAAATTTAAATGATTTCTTGATAGTGAGAAGGTGGCCAAGACAGGGACATAGGCTGGCACAAAGGGGAACCAAAGACATTCAACCAACATTGGATTATAGTAACAGCTGATATTTATTGACCTTCCACTATTGTTTCAGGTGCCATTCTAAATGTTTAACATGTATTAACTAACTTAATCTCCAGAACAACTCTGTGGTGTGGGTACACTTATTAGCCCATGCAGGACATGAGGAAACAGGTCACCAGAGAGGTGCTGTAACTTACCAGGGTAACACAACAGGGATTTGAACTCCCAGTCTGGCTGTGAAGTTCATGTTCTTAACCTCTATGCTGTCGTGCTTCTCAATACATGGGTGCATAATAAGCTATTTGTATCATCTATGAGCTAAGGTGTGGGCTAATTCATCTACAAATACTGAAAACGTTATTGGTTATATAATGACTTCTGGGCAAAAGTATAAGTTAATGTTTTCTTAAATGCTTTGTTAAAATTTCCTTGGCTTTATGTTCTAGAACAAGGCAGGCATAAGTGGAAATGTCATTAGATCAGCATTAGTTTTAATCAGTGGCCTTTAATAAGTGTGTGCACATTATTCATTTAATTGCACCTGTAAAGATGTGGTAGCCTCATAACTGCAGTTATAATAGGTAAGTAAGTGGAATCCATAACAGTCTGAAGCTGCTTGTACCTGTCTGCGAAGATGTGCCATTTGTGAGTTTCCACTAACGAATGTCCCCAAATAAGTGACCTTCCCCAGCTTCCTGGGGATTGGCTTTAACCACATGTGTGTGTTTATTCTCCTCCTAAGGATTCAACAACACTGAGAGAACATGCGACAAAGAGTTTATTATTCGGAGAACAGCCACCAATCGAGTACTGAATGTCCTCCGTCACTGGGTCTCAAAGCATGCGCAGGTAATTTAATGGCATCATTCATTACTTTCAAGGATTTTTCTAAACCAACTTTTTAAATTGTTACATATGTAAACTGCTTTCTGAGTCTTTGGAGTTAGGGTCTGAAACGTTGGAATTAGAGCCAAAGGAAAGAAATAGGAGGATATACACACAGATCAAAGCGAACACATGCAGATTTGCCAAACGCACACTGTCTCAGATCTGGCGTGACACAGGAGGCGAAGCAGGGCTCTACGCTTTCCTCATCTTTTCAGGCCACAGCACCCACCTGTGGGCACTCGAGCCACTGTCCTGTGCCACCCAGGGAGTGCCGTTCATGGGGCCCTCACCGTAGGCTGAGCTGTGCCGCCTGCACCCGGTACCCCTGGAGGTTAAGCATCACTCTGGTGCCACATACTCTGGTATCTGGTCGGGGAGTATTTTCTCGGCCTGATTTAGGAGATTTTTTGCCCCACGACTTTGATTTTTTGGGTCCTAGTATTCTGTTTTTAAATTGCATCATGCTGATAGGACACCTACTTGTTATTTGTATGTTTTCATTACACGTTTGTAGAATTGATACCCGTTTCGCAATTTCACAAAATAAAGCAAGGGCCTCCTTTGCTTCATTGGCATGAAACACGCGTTGTGCTTTTCTTCCCCACTGCCAAATAATGGGAGGCCTTGCTGGACACGTGCTTGGCTAGTGCCCTGCAAGGAGAATTTTGAAAAGACAAAAGGGGGCCCTGTGTGGCTCAGATCGGAGCACGTTAAACATATAAAATGTGAATAAAATGCTAATGAATAAAGAAAAAGAGAAGAGAGGAGCCCCCACTTCATATATTCCCTGAGGCTGTCCTGGGTCTGCCACATAGCCCTTGGTAATGACAGACCGTGAGATAGGGTCACGAGAGAGCCAGACTCCTGGAATCCCTGTGGTGAGAGAATTCGCTAATTGGGAAAAGTGGGATTTGGGCCTCACCATCAGTTAGCCCATGACAATTCTTAAATGTTAATTGAAATAAAAATGAAGGTAGCACATTCAATATAGCATGTAAAAATTTTACTCAACACATCTTAAATAAATAGAAATGGATCCCATATCGCTCAAATTCTGAGAACTGCCCTTAGCCCATTGAAATGTTTAGTCTCTTCCTCATAATCTGAGTGAGCTATTTGTACGTCCCATTTGCCTCATTGCAGATACAGGATAATGAGGTTTCTCCTGTGTCTGACATCCATTCCATTCACTCCTCTCTGGTTTTGGACTTGGGGTCCTGACTTCTGATTCCGTGAGCCGTGGTGGCTTCAGAGATGCAGAGTAGCTTTGGTACACAAGGCTTAGCAGATGCTGCTGGGTTGTCTTCCCTGCTGTGAGTGAAAGCCCAGGTTTACCTGGGTTCAGCTCCCTCCTGTCTGCAAATCTCTCCAAAACCTCTAATCTTGCTTGCCTCTCAGTCTCACCTCCTTTCTGTCAATCCCCAGTGCCCTCTTTTTCTCCTGACCTGAAATGGAAATCCCTCACAATCCACAGAGGACTCTTATAGTAGCTAGAAAAGAGCCACAAAGCAGTTTACAGTATGCTGGGCTTACTTTACTTTGGGTGAAGAGAACTCTGATGGGGGAGATGGGTGTATTGAATCCCTTGCTTGTAATAAAGAGATTTGGAGTAAGGTGTGATCATCTGGCTTGAGAGCTGCATTGTATTTGCATAAATACATATGTACACACAGACAATATTAGATTGAACAGCACCAAGTCACTGGAATGGAAAATGGATTGATGTGAAAGCAAGGATCTCTTTATTCAGATTGTGTCCTGGGGCCTTTATCTAATCCAAAAAGCACCCTGTTAGCTGTTGTTTGGAGAGTTCAGATACTTCACAGCCTATTTATTACTTAAGATGTGCTTGTATGTGGGAAAGCGTTTGTGATCAGTTCCATTTAAGGTGGGCCACACTGGGAATCCCAGCTTTGTAGTCCCTCTACACTGGGGGCATATGTGGATGGTACAGATTGCTCAAGTATTCAGTCTTTTGTCCTGACATGATTATTGTATAACATGTGGACCCCGATGTGCCAGAGGAAGTTCTTCCCATCCACTCATTTCTCTTTTCTTACCTTCCCTGAATGTGTGAGTGGGTTTTAAGGATCTGTGGTTGGTTTCCAATTATCCTGCTCTAACTTTAGCATGTGTACATCCTGTACCTTCCTCATTCAAGTGAGTTTTCCATCACTCTCTCTGTGTAAGCACATGACATTGAGGACATTTCTGGAACATCTCTGCTTATCTAATTGCTTTAGAGCTTTATTTTATTTTTTATTTTTTTGGCTTCAGTGTCCAGGTTTCTCTTACTCCCTTTACTGATTTTGGCTGACTGGTGCTCATTCAGGCTTCACAGAGGGTAGTTTGAGAAAGACAGGTGGTCCTGGAGGCCACACTGTGTGCCCACCACCTCCTCTCACCTTTGGTAGCATAATCTGAGTCAGTTGAATTCAGAGGAGGTATGGAGGAAAACCTAGAGAATTGAGTCTGCTACAGAATATTAGATGTCATGTATTTGTTTCCCATTTCTCACCAAAAGTGACTAATATTAGCAGATACTACCCTGCACTTAATTCAGGAGAAATAGTCACAGAATTATGAGTGTTGGTTCTCCAGAGAAATAAAGTTGCCTTCAACTCCTTCCCTGCAATGTGTGCTAGAATGCCATTCTGGAATCTTTTAGCCTTTCCTTTCGTAAGTGTTTAGTAAGGCTAGATTGCTTTTTTTTTTTTTTCCTGATTCTAAAAATTTTCCTCTGTTACACATTCTGTGCTGCTTTCTCCTCATTTTGTTGTGCTTTTTCACTCACCTGCTGCCTTTCATGTTGAAAGTGAAGCCAGAAGGCCACTCTGGATTTCTCCCACATGCCTTATCTATGGGTTAACAGAAGTAGCAGCACAGGGTCAGGGGTACGTGTATTCTTCTTCCAGCTCTGCCACCGAATCTTCTGTGGAGGCAGAATTGGTCACTCAGCCTCACTGGGTGTTAGTATCTTCTTCTTCTTCTTCTTCTTCTTCTTCTTTTTTTTAAGTTTTACATTGTTTATTTGAGAGACAGAGACAGTGTGAATGGATGAGGGGCAGAGAGAGGGAGAGAGAGAGAATCCCAACCAGGCTCTATGCCACCAGCGCAGAGCCCAGTGCAGGGCTTGAATTCAGGAAACCATGAGTCATGACCTGAGCTGAAACCAAGAGTCCGTTGCTTAACCGACTGAGGCACCCCAATATTATCTTCTGAAAATGAGGACAGCCATCCATCTCTTACCTCCCCCAAGGATCTGGTGAGGATTAAAGGTGACGTTGAATGAAGAAGCATGAAAGACATAAAGTACACTGTAGGTGGGTGTGACCAAATCCCTTCCAGTTAAGGACAGGAGATGCACATTTCATCCCCCTCCAAGGAGCTTGTAGTTCCCTGCAGATAGGGCTGTCTCGTTCATCCTGGCATCTCCCTCCTCAGGGCTCTGCAGCTCTGGGCACGTGGGAGATGCCTAGGAATAGTTGTCAAATCGAGTTTGCATTTTAATGTTGCTGTTGTTCATTCTGTCCAGGAAGGTATTCTTGAGTGTTTAAAATTTTCAAAGTCAGTCAAGACAGAGACTAAGGGATGGGAAATCAGAGAGAAAAACTGAGAGAAAGGAGGCACCTGGGTGGCTCAGTCAGTTGAGCATCTGGCTCTTGGTTTCTGCTTAGGTCATGATCTCACAATTTGAGTTTGAGCCCCACATCAGGCTCCATGCTGACGGTGCAAACCCTGCTTGGGATTCTCTCTTTCCCTCTCTTTCTGCTTCTTCCCTTCTCCCTGTCTCTCTCTCAAAATAAATAAATAAACTTTTTAAAAAAAGAGAGAAAATCTGAGAGAAAGAGGTGTTTTCATTAAGCGTCCACATGCTTCTCAAACATCTCCTGCTAGGCGGCCTTAACGTGTCATTTGCACAATTCCAAGGTATCTGCAGGTTCCAGGGCTGTAGTGCTTTTAACCACATGCTTGTGTGACTGCTTTGTCTTCTGTGCACAGAAGGAGAGGGAAGGACTTCTAGGCTGGCCCTCCAGTTCCTGTCAAAGGCCTGACCTTGTATGTATAATGTATAGCAACTTTGGTTTTCCTAAACTGTCTTAGTGATCCACTGATTCTGGAAAGATACTCTGTCCAGTTGTTTGAGGAATTTTACAGACCATGGAATGGCATTAATAAAGGAACCTGCAACAACATCCATAGGTTACAACCTGCTCCATCAGACTCTGGCTACCGTCTGAGTGACAAGTGGCCAAGAATGAAACAGTCCCTCATTTTCTTAACTTAGAGGGAATATTTTAAAAGTGTGAGATCAGATAAAATGGCTTACTTACCTAAAAATTTCCTTCCCAAAGGAGTTTATGGAGGGAACGTAGCTACTGTCTTTCTGATTCCTCACCTCCTTTATTCATTCACTAACAAGAATTGAGACCTGGAGTGTGCTGGACACGGAGTAAATGTGAGTGTTGGAGGATCCAGACATTACCTGAGTCAGGGGAGCTGGCCTTAAATCTCCAGTGGAGAGGTCTGCAAAAGTCCCACCAAGTGCCCCATGAGAGGAAGAGTTAGCCACTGTCCATCTGCCGTATCCAGAGGGAGCCTGGGCCAGGCTCCCCCTGCCCCAGCAGGTCAGTCTGCGTGCGTTTCCCTGGAGGTCAGAAGTGAAAGCAAGAAGTGGAGAGCTGGTAGTGGGAAAGTACAGGAGGCCTCCTAAATAGGCTTCCAGGCTCAGGACAGGCTAGATTAGGACAGGAAGGAAATGTCTTATTCTGGACCAAACCACAACTTTAATATATTGGACTGGACATTTTTGATTGAAGAGTTGTTCTTATAACTAAAGGTCCCCGAAGACATTGGTCCCTGCCCAAAACTACACGCAGGGTGGGGAAGGATGGTCTACAGAGCAGTTTAATATGATCAGTGACAAGCTGTACTGCTGCTTGATGATTTCATCATTGTTT